TCCTTTTTATGTCAGTGCTACGTTATCTTTGTCAATGGGGTTCCATAATATAATTTTAGGTCATGTATTCAGATACATCTGCACTGCTTTCTGTTAATGATTTCTCTGATTATTTGGGTTATTTGTGCTTCCAATTTTAAAATTAGACTTATAGTTCTTCTGAGAATTTAATTTGGGTTCTGAAGAGGATTGTGTCATATCTATAACTTGCTTTGGATGATACAGCTGTTTTCACAATGTTATTCTAGTTATCCCTGAACATGGGAGGCGTTTTATTCTTCTAATGTCTTCTTCGATTAATATCTTAGAGTATTCCACTGTACAGTTCTTTTATAACATTGATTTATTTCTAAGTATTGCATTTTTCTGTAAAGTATTTTATATAAATGAAATTAATTTTGCCAACAGTTTTCAGCATTAAACCAGTCCTTTGGTTTATGTGTGCTGATTATTCTATCTGTTGAGTTTGTTGGATATATTTGTAAGTTCTAAGAGTTTCTTGGTAGAAGACATATTGGTTATTTTTTTTTTTTGGACTGAAGGACTGAAGCATCCACATTTTGCTTTTTCTTCTTTGGAAATGTAAATAATTTATCTGCTTTTTTCTTGCTTGAACTTCTTTTTCTTGAAATATGATGCTTACTAATATTTTATGCACTATTCTGAATAAAAACAGTGGGTATAGTATTCCAGTAACATTGCATTTAATGGTAAAATGACTACAACATTGTTATATCTCTCCTTTTTTAGATGGGAAATATTCTTTCTATCTGTAATTTTTTCAAGGCTCTTTATCAGGAAGTTATAATGTAATCTGTCAGATATCTTTTGTTTATTTATTAATCTACTGAGACAATTTCATCTACACCTTAAAGCTTGTTCATGTATTGCATTGTATTTTTTATTTGGATATATTGGGTCAAATCAATATTTTTAGCATCAAACTAATTTTGTCATGGTATACAACTTTCCATGTCATCTATGTATATATACATATATACACACACATACATGAATATATATATATATATATATATATATATTTATATGTGTGTGTGTGTGTGTGTGTGTGTGTGTGTGTGTGTGTGTATATATATATATAATTTTTTGTAAGTTTGTGATAGGGTTTCATGTTGCTTGCACTGACCTCAAATTAACTAAGTGTCATGATTGACTTCAAGCTTTAGAACTCCTGACTTCAGTTCTGCTAAGGTGTTCTTGAGTACGGTTTGCAATAATTTTACAGAGAAATTTTGTCTCTGTTGATTTGAAAAAAAATGAGCTTTACTTTTATCTTGTGTTGAACCCTTATCAAGTTTTGGCATGAGGGAAATTACATCCTTTATCTTTCATTTTGTGGAATAATTTGTGAGTTATTAGGAGAAGTTATTGTTTTAAACTTTGGTAGAACTCATGTGAATCAATCAAGCCACACACCTTATTAGTGGTAGATTGTATAACTGCTCTAATATCATTGTTAGTTATGATTCTGTTTATTTTTTATAACTTTTCTTAAATTATCTTTTTCTAGGACCTTGTGCTATTCTATTGATCAATCATTCTCAATCCATGAATTGTGACCCCTTTCAGGGTCTATCAACTCTTTAAAAGTGGTCTCATATCAGATATCTTGCATATGAAATATTTATATTAGAAAACAGTAGCCAAATTACAGTTATGAAATAACAATAAAATAATTTTGTGGTTGGGCATCACCACAAAATGAGAAACTTTATTAAAGTGTTGCAACATTAGGAAGGTGAAAAACTACTGCTCTGGATTTTTTCATTTTGGTGGTACACAGTTTCTTCATATTCCTGTGGATTCCAATAGAATCTATTTTGATTTCTTTCCTGTGAATTTGGATTTTGTTGTATAGTTTTTCTAATTTTAGGAATTTTCTAACTTCCTATAATAGCATGCCATTTTGTGAACAGTCAAACTTGGTATAGTGTGCTGGTAGTGCAACTCTAAGTGTGTACTTAGCATACATGAGGATCTGGGCTCAGGACTAGGGGTAAAAATCCTACAAACACAATCAGAAGGCCTGTTGGTTCAAGTGATACTGTCTATTTGAAACAGTTAAGTTTTTTTGCTTTTCTTAGATATTCACTATGATTGTGCTGAGGTTCTTGAGAATGAAGATCTACTCACAAATGTTTATCAAGTCAGAAGCAACACATACAGCATAGTGAGGTCCACTCAGTATATATACCTAGAGAGAAAACATCAGCCTGAGTAATTTGCTTATTTGAATTTATCCTTTATTTTATCTGGTTTTGACAGGGTCCAAATATGTTAACACAGAATTAGTATGACAAGAATTAAGCACTGTTTCCTGTAATTTCAAGACTGTTGTAATAATCAGACTTATTCCTTGAAAACTATAGTGATTATGTATTACTGAATTGTGGGACTCTGTTCAGAGCATTGTGGCTCTGGACCCTATAATAGAAGTAGAATATTTCAAAGGCTTAAAGATCTTAGGTATTGCCTGTAATAAGACCTTTTATTCCACAGATGAGGAGCAATAGTATATAAAACTTGTCAAGAATGACACAATTAACATGAATTCATTGATGACTACTCCTTCTTTTTAAAATGCTGGTTCTAAAATGAATAATGATACTGCTCTTCTCAAATGCTGTCTTGCTTTTTTTTGGACGTTTAAAAATAATAGAAATCACCTTTGCAGTCATTCTCATCTTGTGAGGAAAAGACTGTCCTTAACCAAGAGTGGCATTTAAAGTAGACATCTAGGATGTTTCCATACCAAGTGAAAAGGAACATAGTTGTAGGGCCTCCGGAAAAGCTCCTCAGGATGAAGTGTAGCAAGACTTTCAATAGTTCAGCCTCTTTTATAAAAACTAAAGAAGTTCTGCCAACAGCTTTCACTCTCCACCATTGAACCCTATACTTGCATTTGCATTATTCCTCTCAAAACATATTCTTATTACTTGGAGGAGATAAGCCAGAAGAACCATTATGTTTTTGTGTTAAATGTCCACAGAAAGCCATGAGTTACAGCTTAGGTCACTAATCTGACATGTTATGTAGAAAGATGTAGAACATATAAGAAGTAGGAGGAGCTTAGAAGAAGAAAGTTATGTCATAAAAGGCATGCCCTGAAAGGGGATATTAGGTGCACAGATATTTCCTCTCACTCTGCACTTGTCGGCCTCCTGGCAGAACAGTTTTACTCCACTACTATTTTTCTGTTCTGCCATGCCACAGACCACAAAACAATGAAGCCAAGGGATCAAGAACTGAAACTTCAGGAAGTGTGATCCAAAATTTCCTTTCTGATATGTAAGTTAATTCAGATGTCTTACTATACTGACAGAAATCTAACAAGGACCATTCCATCTATGTGCTGGCGGTATGTTTCCAGTTTTACCTTTTACTTAAACATTGTGCATTCTGACCTGATTTTATTCTCAATATGTTTATCTCATAATTATAGTGTACTTTTCAAATTTTAAATTATTCAGGACTGACAGTCTTTGCACAGTGGGTATTTTGGGGCCTATAATTAGTATAGAGTCAGTCTTACACAGTTAAATTCTCTAAGTTTCCCTGACATATATGATAAATAAGATACTTGTTTTTCTGTTTTATGGTAAGATGTATATCTTATATTATCTTCTTTAGTTTGATAACTCTTTAAATAGGATGAATATAACCATGCATTTTACTTCCCATCTTGCCCAGGTTGTGTGACATCCTTCATTTGTCTTGGTGTCCATTGTGATATTATAGAGAAGATGTTAATGGTAGCCAGAAAGTCTCAGGTCTTTGGTGCTAATAAATGCATCAGCCTATGAACAGGAAGAGGTAAGAGTGAGGAAGATTCTTCCTGTGCAGAGAAACTTACTTACCTTAAGCACAGCTCCAGGGTCCATGGAAAAAACTTTATTCCTATAAATGAGGCAATTTTTGAAAGGTATCTGAACATTTACACTGAATACTGTCTGGTGCTAATTTGGAATTTCATTTAGAACACTGTCCAAAACAGATTGCACACTGTAGAAACAGGTTTGTAATGCCAGCTAATTGTAAGGCTGACTTGAGAGAATCCCAAGTTCACAAGTTCAAGGCTTGTCTGGACTATCGAGTGATGCTAAGGTAAAACTAATAGATGTAGTGAGACTATCTTACAATATAAAGTAAAAAAGAGAGCTAGAGGTAGAGACTGCTAGATAGAACACTTACATGACATGAGTATGGCTCTAGATTTAATTATTTCTTTTCAATAAATAAAATATAATATAGGAAAATTGTTATGTTACTAAACATGATATAGTTATGTGATTTTTTAATCAATGAGGATTTTTATTGGAATAAAAATAAAAGAGATACGATTTTCCATAAATATGTGTTCATGCATGTATGTCAAGTGCATATGTGTCATTTGCATATGTGTTGTGTGCACATGTAGGTTATTGCCCGATTAAAATGAAGAGTATAATATCTCTGACATGAACATAGCAGCAGTGATCTACAAAGAGATTTTTAGGCAATTTGGGTATTTTGTACAAAAACTTTTGACCAGTGTCTATATAGATTTACATTATCTGTATTTGCATAATAAACATTTTATTCATTTACTTAACAAAAATATTTATAAATCATTGCCTGAGGAACTGCTGCATGCATATTTTTTTAACATTGATTAGGACACATGGTAGTCTGTATAGTGCAAAAGTGAAAATAATACTAATAAATACATCTTTTTTTTGGTTACCACATGAAAATTCAGCATTTTATTCAGCTTCAGATGTGATGATACTGGATATGAGATACCGAATGAAGCAAAGATGATCTCTTTCGAAGAAAGAAAGCCAAGATTTTTTTGGAGAAATTATGAATCAGTTATTCAGAAATTTGATGTTTTCCAATAAGTGATGTGTAAATGGGATTTTAAATGATGAATATTTTGAATTTTCTATGACCAATGTGTAGAATATTTTAAGCACAGCAGAGTCATCATAAATTGAAGCATGACTTCACAGAAAATAAACTACAGCCATTTGTTTACTTTTGCAATCACCTTCTATGTGGAAATAGCAGCAGGAATCTTAGAAAATGGATTCATAGCACTAGTGAATATCATGGACTGGGTCAAGAGAAGAAGGATCTCTACAGTGGATGAGATTCTCACTGCTGTGGCCCTAACCAGACTCATTTTTGTGTGCTCTATGCTCATTTGTATACTTTTATTCATACTGCGCCCACATTTGAATATGAGATCAGAATTGCTTACAGCAATGAGTATTATCTGGGTAGTGAACAACCATTTCAGCATCTGGCTTGCTACATGCCTTGGTGTCTTTTATTTTCTCAAGATAGCCAATTTTTCTAACTCCATTTTTCTTTACTTAAAGTGGAAAGCTAAAAAAGTGGTCTTAATGGTAATACTAGTATCACTGATTTTCTTAACTTTAAACATTTTATCTTTAGAGATGTATGATCAGTTATCAATTGATGTTTATGAAGGAAATATGTCATATAGCTTGAGGGATTCAACACAGTTTCTCAGAAATTTCTTATTTACCAACTCATCTAAAATGTTGTTAATCACCACCTCATCCCACGTTTTCTTACCCATCAACTCCCTGTTCATGCTCATACCCTTCTCAGTGTCCGTGGTAGCTTTTCTCCTGCTCATCTACTCACTGTGGAAGCATCACAAGAAGATGCAGGTCAATGCCAAACGACCTAGAGATGCTAGTACCATGGCACACATGAAAGCCTTGCAAACTGGGTTCTCTTTCCTACTGCTGTATGCAATATACTTACTTTTCATTATAATAGGAATTTTTAACCTTGGATTGATGACAAAAATAGTAATACTTTTATTTGACCACATTTCTGGAATATTTTTTCCTATAAGCCACTCATTTGTGCTGATTCTGGGAAACAGGAAGCTGAGACAAGCCTCTCTTTCTGTGCTGTCTTGTCTGAGGTGCCAGACCAAAGTTATGGACTCCTTGGGTCCCAAATAAATTTGAGAGTACTTTATGCAAAATCTTTAGGATCATCGATTCATAGGAAAAAATTGATTACATAGTGGAAAAAGAAAAAGTGATGTTTCAAAGCTGGGAGGGGTAATATATAGGAGGTTTGGATGTGGATGAAGTAGACTAGCATTATAAGTGATCTCAAAGGGGAAATGGGAAAGGATAGCTTTTCTGCAATGAAGAGGGAAGGAAATAATGGAGGATGAGGAGGGGTTTGATATATAAAGTGACAATAAGGATGGAATCATGCTATTCTAAGAAAACCTAACTAATTCAGAATATATATATATGCATAAATATAAATTCTATACACATCTTAAATGAACTTTTCTTATATGGCCTGATTGTATTCTCTCCAACAGTCAATGACGATGAGATAAAAAATCCAATACCAACAAGGACAAGGTTTTTGAGTTGTTTATCAGGGCTCTCAAAGAGACTCCTGAAACAAACAGCCTGTTGCTGTTGCTGTTGGCTAATTTCTAGGGGTGATATGGAAGTCCCAATTTCATTTGACACCATGTACTTCAGAAACAAGAGATTCAGAAAACTGGCCTTTCTGCTTTCTCCCTGAGGACTAGTTTTCATGCTATTAGAATTTGTTTGCAAAATTACAAAAGAGTTAGGCAACTGATAATCCTACCCCACTACGACACTTATGAACCACCACATCAATGACCAGCGAGCACCACTGCACAATAGCCCTATTGATCATTTAGTAGCACACATATCTTGGTGGTAACCAATTTCTCTGTAATTGGACTTAAGAGCCTTTCAACAAGAGGACTACCATGCCTGGCACAAAATTTTAGCTAACTACTAACAAACTGACTGAAATCATGGTTATTGGAGGAGAATATACAACAACTGATTTACTAAATCAGCATAATCCCTGACGACAATACATAAACATTTGCCAGTGTACTCACAAATAAATATAACCTTTATCTATCATCAAGAAAAATAATCTTCAAAACAGATGAGGATGAGTACAGAAAACCACAACCAACCAAATGTAGAGCTGTGACGCCCAGTCCCAATTCATATATTTATAAAGCAGTCAATACTTAAGACCCAGAGGAGAATTATGAAAGAGGCACAGAAATATTGTAAGTGTCAGAGAATCAAGGAATTTGCTTTGAGCTCATGTTACACCAGAAGCTATATCCATAAAGACTTATGAAAAAGATCATCCAAATATTAGCTGAACAAGGAGAACATTAATAAACATGTCAAAACAGACAATGAAAAGCCTACAAAGCATCAAATGTACATAAAGATCTACAGGCTTGAGAAAAGCTAAGAGAAGGAGAAGTAGTCCTCCCCAGGGAAGAGCATACCAATCAGCTTTTGAGTACTGAATGGTCATTTCTGAAAACACACAAACAAGTATTATATGCCCATATAGCCCATATATGTAAACCTATATGTGTGTTATATGAATATACATATATATATATTGCTTGCAGTAGCAACCAATGAAAAACAGAGGTCATAAATTTAAAGGCAGTGGGGATAGTGTTTGGAAGGTCTTAGAAGGAGGAAAGGGAATAGAGAAAAGTTGTAATTAAAATACAATCTCAAAACCAAAACAAATCAACCAGAGTACATTAGAAACATATTGTAAATAATCATACAATCTGACTCTGTAACATCTAATATTAGTCAGGTTTATGGGGGCAAATCAGCTGAAATTTGCATTGTATACAAATGTAACACAAAAATAAAATAATAAAAGATTTTTATTAAACTATTATTTGATAAGTATAGTCTTTAATATATTTGTAACATGCCTTTTCTGCATAACTAACATTTACATATTAATATTTGGAGTAACAATTAATTTAATGCATTATAGCCCAAGCATATGCAATTATGTGTACTTTTATATGAGGATCCTCATAGAGAATATTTTCCATCATCTTAAATATTTTGAACTTTGTGTTGTGTTAACCTTTTGAAATGTAACATGTGAGATATATGTATCCATTTGTGTCTAGGAGACAGGTACTGATTTGTGTACCTTTTGTATAGTGCTGTCTTAGAACTGGATAAACAGTTTCTTATTGGAGGGAGGAGAGATCCTCATCTACACTGGGAAAAGAAAGAGAACTTCTAAGTCTTTTGCTGCTTCTGATACTCATAAACCCTGGGAAGATAATCTACAATGTTGAATACACTTAAAACTTTCTAGAGGAAGGAGACTCTGAGCTACAGAACTGTTTGCAAGTCATGCACAGAGCTCCTGGAATGCAGCTCTCAAAAGTCACTGCAGTGTATGGGGTAGGCTTTTTGTCATGCACCTGCCTTTGAGTCACCCATGTTTCTGTAAATCAGCCTTTTCCATCCTCTTATAAATAACTCCAATAAACTCACTAGTTCACTAAGCTTGACTGTAGTTGAATCGTTTCTCTTGCCCACAAGTCTGAAATAGACTGTTATTCATGTCTTACAAAAATACGTATGGTGCATCAGATTTTTCTAAGACAGTTTAAACAAAATTCTTTTTACCACAGACAGTACCTTAATGATAGGCCAAAGAACTGAATTCACCCAAGTCCACCTTAACCAATGAGTTTACTGTAGGGTTTTTTGTTTGAATGTTTGCTTGCTTGCTTGCTTGCTTGCTTGCTTGCTTGATTGCTTGTTTTCTTTTAGCAATTTACTCAGAATTGAAACAATACATCAAGGAGAGGGAATGTCTTGAAAAGCTAAAACTTACAGGATTCACGATGTCCACTCACCAATGCTATGTAATCAGTAAACAACTAGTAGGAGACTAGAAACAGCTGAGTGGTCAGGAGGAGACTCTGTTGAGATGAGTTGCCTAAAAAATATTATGACTTTCAAATCAACTTCAAATAATACAACGAACATCATTTGGGAGTTGTCATCTATGTGGGAGTAGGCTTTTAGTTGTGCAGTTGATTTTGAGTTCAACCACACTTCTTTTAATTACATCTGAGACAATCTCACACAGAAAATTGCATACATAACAAAGCAAACCAAAATCAGCTAATTAATTTAAAATGTTGGACTTTAGTTTCTATTAATTTTCTTTGGTTTGTCATGATTCTGTACTTGAGAAAAGTACAAAAGTGTTTGTGTTTTCTCACCAGAAATAATCTCCCACAATATTGGTACATACTAACAGATCCTTGTTGAGTGGTACTTAGAGGTCTGTGAGCTATCTGAAGATGATGTTTAAAGATAAGGGGTCATATAGGGTACACTCCTGGAGGAAGAAAATTCAGTAAGCATGATTGATTAAAATAATTTTTTTGTTTTGTTATTTTTTATTGGGTCTTTTGTTTATTTTCATATCAAATGTTATCCCTTTTTCCAGGTCCCCTCCCAGAAAACCCCATTTCTCCTCCCCCTGCTTCTATGAGGGTGTTCTCCCACCCACACAGCCACTCCCACATCCCCACCCTGGGATTCCCCTATACTGAGGCATGGAGCATTCTCAGGATCAAGGGCCTCTCCTCCCTTTGATGCCTGACAAGGCCGTTCTCTGCAATATATGCAGGTGGAACCATGGTTCCCTCCATGTGTACTCTTTGGTCCTTTAGTTTCTGGGAGCTCTGGAGGAGGAGGGGTTTGGTTGGTTGGTATTGTTGTTCTACCTATGGGGTTGAAAATCCCTTCATCTCCTTCAGTCCTTTCTCTTGCTCCTCCATTGAGGACCAAATACTCAGCCCAATGGTTGCCTGAAAGCATTTGCCTCTGTATTTGTTAGACTCTAGCAGAGTCTCTCAGGAGACAGCTATATCAGGCCCCTGTCAGCATGCACTTCTTAGTACCCACAATAGTGTCTCATTTTGGTGACTGTACATAGGATGGATATCCAGGTGGGGCAGTCTCTGGATGGCCTTTTCTTCAGTGTCTGCTCCACACTTTGTCTCTGCATTTTCTTCCTGTGAATATTTTGTTCTCTCTTCTAAAAAGGACTGAAGCATTCATACTTTGGTCTTTCTTCTTCTTGAGCTTCATGTGATTTGTGATTTGTATCTTGGGTAATCCGAGTGTTTGAGCTGATATCATCTTATCAGTTAGTGTATATCATGTATGTTCTTTTGTGATTGGTTACTTCATTCACGATGATATTTTCTAGTTCCATCCATTTGCCTAAAAATTTCATTTAGCAATTGTTTTTAATAGCTGAGTAGTACTCCATTGTTTAAATATACCTCATTTTCTGTATCCATTCCTTTCTTGAAGGACATCTGGGTTCTTTCTAACTTCTGGCTATTATAAATAAGGCTGGTATGAACATAGTGGAGCATGTGTCCTTGTTTTATGTTAGAGCATCTTTTGGGTATATGCCCAGGACTGTTATAGCTGGATCCTCTGGTAATACTATATCCAATTTTCTGAGGAACTGCCAGACTGATTTACAGAGTGATTCTACCAGCCTGTAACCCACTAAAATAAACATTTGTTGGTGTTGGTTGTTAGTGTTGTTGTTATTGGTGGTAGTTGTGGTTATTGCAATAGTGGTTGTGGTGTGTGTTTCTGTATGCACGTGTGTGTGTGTGTGTTTGTGTGTGTATCTGTGTCTATGTGTTCGTTTATGTTTGTTTGTTTGTATTTATAATTTACTCAGTTTGTATGATGCAAATTGTATATGTGTTTTCATGGCTGATCATTTAGTATTGGATAACCAATTGGTGTGTTCATCCATTGAGAAGACTATTATTTCTACTTTTGTGATTTTTAGTTACCTATATTCCTTTGGGATGAGGTCTGTCAAGGTTTTACCCATCCATGATTATTGGTGCTCTTGTTCAATTCATGTATAGGCATCTCTATTGGTAATGTTTATGGGTTTAGCTCCTGAAATTCCTAGTATACTGAATCTCATAGCAAACATTCTGTTCCTTAGGCTCTTGCTCTCTTTCCAGCCCTTCTTTCTGTACCAGTTCTTGGACATCAGGTGTTAGAGTGAACTGTAGATGTACAGGATCCACAACTCTGTCTTTTGA